TCCATGGGTCTAGGGTGCCAAAGACAGGAAATGTGCCAGTCCCCCTGCTAGGAGGAGAGATGGGGTGGGGGAGCTTAGAGGGTGAATGAGGCTGGGGGAGTCAAGGCGCAGTGGGTGCAGCAGCCAAACTTACCCAGGAAAGCTACTGGCTCCAGGAAGCTGTGGAGTTGGACTGCCCAGAGATGCAAAGGGAGGTCAATCCATTCTTTTTAACTTTCAGCCTCATTCTGATTCTCAGAACACAAGCAGAATGTAGTCAGATTCTTTGCCAGAATATAATAGGAATGAGCTCTAGTGGAGTCCTTGCTACCCTCTGAAATCTCATGAGTCAGGCCTCTACTATTCACATTTTTCATGTTGTTCTGGTATCTCAAAGTCCCACCAGAAGGGCCACTTTGTATTCTGCTTATAGCCCACTGAAGCGTCTCTATCTTGAAATTCCAAACTCTCCCACATTCCAAGTCCAGTTCGAGAAGCCCAAGAACCATAGGTTTATCACAATGGTCACACTTTACTCATTTTCCGTATTACTTACTTTCATCATTGCTGTGACAAAAAGCCGGGAAAGGTTCGTGTTGGTTTACAGTTCAAAAAGGTGCAGTCCATCATGTGGGGAAGGCATGGTGGTAGGAAAGTGAGGCAGCTGGTCACACTGCATCATCAGAAAAATGAACGCTGGTCCTCAGCTCGCCTGGGTTTGTTTGTTTGTTTCACTTGTTTTGGTCTTTTTTTTTTTTTAATTTGAGACAGGGTCTCCCTGTAGCCCCAGCTGTCCTAGAACTCACTATGTAGACCAGGCTGGCCTCGAACTCACAGAGATTGGCCTGCCTCTGCCTCCCGAGTGCTGGGATTAAAGGCGTGTGCCACCACGCTCAGCTCTCCTGGGTTTTTATTACCTTTTATTTGTGTGTGTGTGTGTGTGTGTGTGTGTGTGTGTGTGTACATGTACCATGTAACATGAGTGGAGGTCATAGGCAATATTTAGGTTCTTTCCTTCCACTGTGTGGATTCTCAGGATTCTCAGGAATCAAACTCAGGTCATCGGGCCTGGCAGCTTGGTCCCAGGTGCCATCTTGCCAGCCCAATTTTCTTTATATTCAGTTCAGGATCTGAGCTCATGGAATAGTCCTACCCACATTTAGGGTGAGTCTTCCTGTCTCACTTAAGCAATCTAGAAACTCTTTCACAGGCATACCAAGATATTGGTTTCCTAGGTGATTCAGACCAGGTAGAGTTGACAGTATTAATCACCATAAATAAAACGGGAAGGAACACAACAGAGCAAATGAAAAAGGAGGAAATCCTGGGACTTGTAACTAGGGACATTCAGGACCAGAGCAGAAATGCACTCCCAGGCCTGGCTTTCCAGGGCCTTATCTGTCAGACCCAAATGTTGGGTGTGCTTATCCCCACTTCTCAGATGAGGAAAAGAGGCACCAAGAAGGGAAGTGGCCCCACTACCAGTCCCTCAGAGCCTTGCAAGTCACCACTATGTCAGACCTAGGCTCCCAGCAATCTGACCTGCACTATGACACCAGGAGCGGTGTGTTGACTGTCACCTCTGCTGTACTCCACTCCTAACCCCCTCTGCCCCCCTCACCCATCTAACACTGGCCATGGCTCCTAGCATACCTGGAGAGACTCTTGCCACTGTCCCTGCCACCAAGTGGCAGAATGTGACCCCTGTCCTGAGGAATGATTCTAAGTGGGCCACGGGAATTCAAGGGAGGATCAGCACAGGCTGAAGATTCCCAGGAAGCTTCCTGACTGAGAAAGTCCCAAAGGAGATGGGAAGGGAGGACAGGCTATCCCATGTGAGGGGACACAGGCAAATACCCAGAAGAATGGCACATGGCCACAGCCTAGGAAGGGTGAGATGCAGGGAACCCTGCTCACCAGCATTCTCTGCATCTGGACAAGAGCTGGGGCTTGGTCCTGATGGGAGGGGTCAATCTCCTGTGAGTGCCAAGTGTCTGGATCCAGGCTGGAAGCCATGGGCCCTGTCCCCACAGAAGCTCTAGCTCCAGCTCCTCTGGTCCAGGCCAAGGACCTATGTCCACACAAGCAGATAAGTCATATCTCTGGGGCCACCAGGCCCTTCCCAGCCATCATGAGGCTACACAAGCCTAGGCTTCACCACCTCAGGCCTTCTTGGCCAACAACCCCAACAAAGCACCAAGCTTCAATGAAAGTCTACTGAATACCCTCCCAGAGAGCCAGACAGGGGCTTCCTGCTTCTTTGAATTTGCAGTAGTGGTAAGCACATTAAGGAACCAAATAAATGAGGAAATATAGGGGGCTGGGTGTGGAAATCAGTCATAGAGAGCCTGGTTAGCACACAGGAAGTGCTGGGTTCCATCTTCAGCACATGCATAGAAAAAATTTTGTTCCGCAGTCACATTCACTACATTCCAAGTTCAGTAGTGTCATGTTCCTGAAGGGCGGCGACCTTATTGACTAGCCCAGAATTATTGAACATTTACTGCTGATGTGTGTGTGTGTG